AAAATACCTAACACAAGCCCAAGTCATTTCTAGCACCTTCTTACCGAGATGCCCCGCAGTCCTCATGGTACATGTTCTCTCTTGTTACAACAAATCTATAAATCTAATTTTGTGCAAATACAGATGTGTCCTGAGATCTTCGGCAGGGGATACTGATGTTTTCTTTCCTTTAGTCAGAATAGGATGCTCAGTCTTCACAGTTTTATCCTTTGAAGGCTTTGTCATAATTCCTGAGATTTACTATCTGAAACTAAATCTCAATTGCTATATTATAACCCTTTTTAATTGTGAAAATACTGAGCATCAGTCTTTTCTTGGAACTCTATTTCTTAAAATTTTTGCTTTGATTTACACAATAGCCTTCTGCTAGTAGACTTGCTGTATTAATTTTTAGTCAATGATAGCCAAGTTTTAATCAAGAAAAACGCTGCAAGGCTAGCCAGGAAGTATCGAAATCTGTTGCTTTACATCAGAAGCAGTATATTTTCTAATGATTCTGAGAGTTTAAGTATGAGAAAATGTGTAAGGTTTAGACTCCAGGTTTAAAGAAGACAAGAACTAAAAGGTAGCAGGCTCAGAATCTCCTGCTAACTTGCTACTACCTAGGTGGATAATCCTAAACAACGCTCTTAACACATCTGATTAGATTTCCTCATCTGCTAAAGAATTAAATGATGTTCAAGATTATTTTTCAGATCCAAAGTTATATGATTCCGTAATGTGGTAAGGTTACCACAATACATTATGAACTTTATTTTATTTTATTTTTATTTTGTTGCACAAAAATGAATATTCAATGGGATTTTTTGATATCTCTATCTTTTCCTAAAATAAAATATGATCCTTCTGAAAATGTTAGGACAAAAGAACAAATCAAGAAAGTATCATTAATGCAGGGGAGGATGCCCCTAAAATTTAGGACAAAGAGTAGAAAATATCACTCTCCAAAACAAATGCTACTAAGGTTTAATATAAAAGGACAAGATTAATCATCTATGGAAACCCATTTGAAAAAAAAAACCCAAACCCAATTAACAAGGAGCATAGATTGTCTCTTAAAACTCACAAAAATGTATCTATTTAATTTTTTGATATATCATGTAAGCAATGATTAATATATCCCAATATATTAATTAACCTTATTTAAAATAGGAATATGCCCTAGCAGTAGAATAATTCACAACTATTGTAATTTCAGAAGCTTTTGGTAGTAGAAGTAACATTGGAAAATACTATTGAACAATGTGGCTTCCCTAAGTACTGTAAGTCAGAGGGGCAGGAATTATGACTTTAATCTAATCTAATTTCACCTATCACTGCTATCTAGATGAAATATCTCTAGATCAGAAAAAGTAAAACACAGCACACATTAGCTTTGACTGCCTCTCCAACAACGGAACCATTATTTAGCCTCACAAGGCAGCAAATGCACAGGCTCGGCATTCTCTCCTGTTTCTTTGTCCCAACAAGCAACGATGGACTGGGCCACTTCTGAACAAACACTAATTCATCCACCTTTGCCACTTAACCATCTAGGAATTAGGTTATGCCCTATGATATTATAACATGCCTAGATGTCTGAATTTTTGTATTTCTTGTGACTTCAAATGAAAAATAATCCTTATAAAAAGAGCTCAAATGAATATATTTGAGAGAGTTACTTAAACATATATATTTATACCTAAGTTTAAAACTTTAATGTCCAATATAGGACCTAAAAGCTTAAGTTCAAACTCTAGCTCTACGGCCTACTGGCTATAAGACCTTGAACAAATTACTAAGCCCTCTCCTCCTCCTGACTCACCTGAACATCCAGGGCAATACCTCTTAGGGTTGTTTTTAAGATTAAATAAGAAAATATATGTAAAGAGCTTAGAACAGGGTCTGGTATACCTACATAAATGTTCAATAAGGGATAACTTTCATTATTTATTCTTCTTTCATTCGTAGACTTCATTTGAACTCCATATAACTGTTCCACAAGCTCCCACAATACTTTATTATAATATGCTTATGACATTTCAACTAAAGTATTAAACCTCTTTTTCTCCTATTTTGTCATGTGACATTTGGCTTCTTTTGATTTTTTATCTTTAATGCTCTATTGAATTTTCCCTTCAAATTACAAAGGCAATATAAGCAACAAGCCAGATAACAGAGATTATACGTATAAAGAAAAGCTAGCAATCTCCCACTTCCCCAGGGTAATCCCTATAACACACTTGCTTATATCCTTCCACACTTTCCTTTATTCTTACACCAACCATAATATGAAGACTCATGTGTATGTCAATAGTCCAGTATATGTCTTTCCATACTTTTCTTCATGTCCATATAAATGGCCATATTCATAAGTGTATGTTTCCTAATTGGTACAAATATATAATTATAGTCACAGTAAGCTCTAACTTTTGGTTTTTACTTGACAAAAATACATAAATATCCTTTAGGCCAAAAGTTATAGCAGTTAACTCACTCTTTGTAATAACTGCATAACAATTCATAGTATGAATAAAGCACCATTTATCCAAGCATTACACTTCTGAAGGATACTCAGATTGTTTTCAATTTTTATTTTTGCCCCTGTAATTCATGTAGCAATAAACATCCTTGTTCAAATATCCTTATACGTTGGTGTTTTTATTTTTATTTGATAGATGTGGAGAAATAAGATTTAGAATTTATATCCAAAGTGCTATTTTAAATGCTTTACATTTAATATCCCATTTAATCTTGATACAACCAGATGAGGTATCATTATTATTGTTGTTTTTAAGTATGATGAAATTTAGGTAAATAACTTGTCCAAAAGATTTCCAAGCAGTCTAACCTCCAAGTTCTTGCTCTTTACATTTCCCTTACCCAGAAATTGCCTGATTACTTTCCCCAGAGGTTGTACCTACTCACAGTCCTTCCATGATAGATTCTACTAACCATCCAAAGCCTTCCGTTGTGCACCACAGAACAGTTTATCTGGTGATGGGACAGCAGCAGTAGGAAATGTGCTTCCTTGGGTGCACAAATCCTAGCTTGTTGGCTTACAGACAGTTAAGTGTGTTCCCTATAGTCCAAAGGCCTTTTACAATGTGGAATCTGGTTACCTCCTCGAGGACTCTTTAGGTCTATCTCTCTTATAGTAGTTGCGATTAAAAAAAATTAATACGTTTGCTAGTGAATGGAAAGCAGGACACTCCATTAGAACGGGGTGTCTCTGCTAGCTTCCAGATCTACAACTCAGGAAAGCAGATGCCAGGAAGTTTCCATTCATAGGCTAAATGTTGTTAAAATTCTTACTTAGTCTTCAGCCTTTTCATGTTTACAGAATGAAGTCATTCTTTCTCCACCTCTCAAAACCAAAATTTCCAAAACTAATTAAAATTATAATGGCATCTACTGCTTTTATTTTATGTGTCTTTATTAATTTCATTTATTTCTCCTAAAAGTATTTCAAAATGTTGCAATAGAGTCCTGGGGACTTCAGCAAAGGGTGGTTTTTGTTTTGTTTTGTTTTGTTTTTTGTTTGTTTTTTGAGACAGAGTCTCGCCCTGTCACCCAGGCTGGAGTGCAGTGGCGCAATCTCGGCTCTCTGCAACCTCCGCCTCCCGGGTTCAAGCGATTCTCCTGCCTCAGCCTCCCAAGTAGCTGGGACTACAGGCACCCGCCACCATGCCCGGCTAATTGTTGTATTTTTAGCAGAGACAGGATTTCACTATGTTAGCCAGGCTGGTCTCAAACTCCTGACCTCATGATCCGCCTGCCTCAGCCTCCCAAAGGGCTAGGATTACAGGCATGAGCCACAGTGCCCAGCCCGGGTGTGGTTTTTACTAATAAAATAAATGAACTAAATTAAACTAAACAATATGTATCTGCTTTTCCTTTAGAAGAGTACAACTTAAGGGCATGATATTTTATTTTGGCACCTATGGTGAGACAGGAATAAGAAACAATAAATGCTAAATATTGTACCCAGTCCATCATATTTTAGCAAATAAACAGTTGGAGACACAATGGGATAATTATAGAATACCAGGAAAGAATTTATTGCAGTTCATAGGGAGTGTGTACATGGTCATTTGACAAAGAAAGAGTCTGACGTTTCTGCCTCAAGAAATGCAACAGGAGATGCTCTGTGTTAAAGATCCTCATGCTGAGAGTATTAATAACTACTTTGCACCCACAGAAACACTACCATCTAGCAACTTCTGTGGATAACCTAAAGTTGAACTGGCACCACTGCCTCTCTGGTAGCAAGATGGTGTTAAGCAAGTTCTTCTGGGAAAATGAACTGAAATGACTTCCTGAAAACCTCTTGCCTTAAGGGAAAAAAAAAAAAAAAAAAAAAAAAAACCCAACTGAAAAATGAACTCCTACTGAAGAATTACCAGGCAGTCAAGGAAGCTGCCAGCATGTAAAATTGCCTCTGCGGTTGTCAGACTTGGAAACTTTGGGTGGCAACTGCATGGTTAGGATAAAATTAGGTTGGTGAATAAGGTCAGCTCTGGGCAAGAGCCAATAGTGACCAGAAATAGCTAAAGTTTGTGATTTGGGGCTTAAAATTTACTAAAATTTGTAAATGTTAACGTATTCTACATTAACTTATTTTACACCCACCCTCCCCTGCCGGTCAGTTAAGTATGGAAAGCATTATTAGGTCCATTTTATAGAGAAGGAAACACATTCAGAGAAGGTATTGTAACTTGTCCAGGGGCTTCATATTTCATCGACTAGCCAGCGAGCACACCATGCTTCTGCTTCTGGTGATGTGAAGGAGGCATCATTAGGGTCACACTACAGAGTTCAGCAAAGTTTCCTCTCCATAGAAGCAAAAGAGACCTTCCTAAACCCGCTGATTGCCTAGAACCACATCACAAGTCAAAATGCCTGCGGGTTGGGCCCACCGTGACAAGAGTGGGGACGTGAGAGCGGCAGAGTAGGGACGTGACAAGGCCTTGCCCTGGCTGGGGTGAGCTGTAGGGAGGTGGCGGGAGGGACCTGGGGCACTACCGAGCAGAGTTGCTCACTGTGGGGTGCTGCCGGCTCCGCAGGTGCCCCACCTGCGCAGCTCGCGCCCCGCCCGCCACCTTCCCTGAGTGCTCTGAGCTGCAGGTTCTGCGCCCCGCTAGCCCCTCAGCCGCTCGCCCCTGGCTATGGTCACTCACTCACTGTCCGGGACACCTTCAACTCCTTGTTGAGCCACTGGCACAGGATCTCCGACATGGTTCAGCAGGTGCCTCAGACCGCAGGCGGGTGCTAAGAAACTCGCCAGGAACCAAGCCCGCCCTCCCGCGTCCTCCTGTTGCCAAGGGCAACCCTTTGCTAAGGAAGCGTATCCTGGCTGGAACTAGACGAAAGGCATAGAGAAGAGGGGACGCCAGGGCTCAGCCGCAGACGACAGAAAATCGTGTTCCGCCACCTGCTGGCGGGTAAGACCTGAGCGTGCGCCAGCGCAGGAGGAGCCAGTGGGGGCCTGTGAGAGAAGTTAGGGAGCTGTGGGTGTGGGCAGGGGCGAGGCGGGAACACTTAGGGACACAGCAGGGGCTTCTTAGGTGAGCAGAAAGAAAAACGAGAGTCTCCGCAGGGCTCCGTGGCTCACGCCAATAATCCTACCACTTTGTAGAGTGTGTGGCGCTCTCTTGACCCTGGGGGTTCAAGACCAGCCTGGGCAAGGTAGCAGAAACCTTTTTTTTTCTATAAGAAATTAAGCGGGCGTGGTGGCCTGCGCCTGTGGTCCAGCTGTTCAAGATGCTGATGTGGAAGGATCAACCCAGGAGGCAGAGTTTACAGTGAACCGAGATCGAGCCACCGCACTCCAGCCTGGGCAACAGAAGGAGACTCTGTCTCGAAAAAAGAAGAACAAGAAGGAGAAGGAGAGGGAGAGGAAGAAGAGGAGGAGGAGGGGGAAGAGGAGGAACAGGAAGAAGAGAAGAAAGGAGAAGGAGAACAAGAAAGAGGAGAACCAGGAGAGATCAAAGAAGAGGAAGAAAAATTAAAAAGAAGAGGAAGAAGAAAAAGGGTATTTGGGGTATCCATCACCTTGAGTATTTATCATTTATATACGTTGGTAACATTTCAAATCTTCTCTTCTAGCTATTTTGAAATATACAATGTATCATTGCTAACTATAGTCACCCCAGTTGCTAGCTAACATTAGACCCTATTTCTTCCATCTAACTATAAGTTTGTACCCATTCACCAACCACTCTTCATTTCCCCTTCCCACCCTCACATCCTTTCCAGCCTGTGGTACTGATAATTTTGTTCTCTATCTCCAGGAGATCAACTTTTTTAGCTACCACATATGAGTAAGAACATGCAGTATTTGTCTTTCTGTTGCCTGGCCTATTTCACTGAACATAATGGCCTCCAGTTCCATCTATGTTGCTGCAAATGACCTGTTTTCATTTTTTTCTGTAGACAAATGGTATTCCATTATGTATATATACATTTAAGTCTTTAATCCATCTTGAGTTGATATTTGCATGTGGTGAGAAATACTTTTCAGCTTTTCTCTTCTGCATATAGATAGCCAATTTATCCAGCACCATTTATGGAAGAGGGTGTTCTTTCAACATAGTTCTTGGTACTTCTGTTGAAAATCAGTTGTCTGTAAGTACGTGGATTTATTTCTGGGTTCTCTATTCTGTTAGGTTGTTCTTTGTGTCTATTTTTATACCACTACCAAGCTGTTTTGATTACCATAGCCTTGTAATGTAATTTGAAGTCAAATATTGTGCTATTTCCAGCTTATGCTGTATTAATTACTATAGCCTTGTAATATAATTTAAAGTCAGATACTGTGCTGTTTCCAGCTTTGTTCTTTATGCTTAGGATTGCTTTGGCTATATGGGTTCTTTATTGGTTCCATATGAATTTTAGGATTGTTTTTTCTATTTCTGTGAAAATGATATTGGTATTTTTATAGGAATTGAATCAAATCTATAGATTGTCTTAGGTAACATGATCATTTTAATGATATTAATTCTTCCAATTCATGAACATGGAGTGTCTTTCCGTTTGTTTGTGTCCTCTTCAATTTCTGTCCTCAATGTTTTGCAGTTGTTCTTGTAGGGTCTTTCATTGCCTTGGTTAAATTTATTCCTAGGTATATATTTGTACTGTACTAATTGTAAATGAAATTGCTTTATTTATTTATTTATTTATTTATTCATTCATTCATTGGTGGAGATGAGTTCTTTCTATGTTGCACAAGCTAGTCTTGAACTCCTGGGCTCAAGCAATCCTCTGCCTTGGCCTCCTAAAGACTTGGGACTACAGGTTTGAGCCACTGCACCTGGCCTTGATTTATTTTTCAGCTATTTCAGTATTAGTGTACAGAAATGCTACTAATTTTTGTATGTTCATTTTGTATCCTGTTACTTTATTGAATTTGCTTATCAGCTATAAAAGCTATTTGGTGGTTTTTAAATTTTTCAAAATATAAGATTATGTCATTTACAAAAAAGGACTATCTTCCAATTTAAATACGTTTTCTTTCTTCTCTTGCCTAATTTATTTGGCTAGGACTTTCACTTCTCTCTTGAATAAGAGTAGTGAAAGTGGGTATCCTTGTCTTGTTCCAGTTTTTAGAGAAAAGGCTTTCAACTTTCCTCCATTCAATATGTTAGCTGTGGGCTTGTCATATATGGTCTATTATTTTGAGGTATGTTCTTTCTATGCCTAGTTTGTTGAGAGTTTTTATCATGATGGAATGATGAATTTTATTAAGTGCTTTTTCTGCATCTATTGAGATCATCACATGGTTTTTGTCCTTCATTCTGTTGGTGTGATGTATAACATTTATTGGTGTGTGTATGTCAAACCATCCTTGCATCCCTGGTATAAATCCCCTTTGATCATTGTGTATTATCTTTTTGATGTGCTATTGAATTCAGTTTGCTTGTATTTTGTTAAGGATTCTTGCATCTATATTCATCAATATATTAACCTGTAGTTTCCTATTTGGGTTGCATTCTTATCTATTTTTGACATCAGGGTAATACAAAGAATGCATCAGGGAGAATTCACTCCTCCTCAGTTTTTTAAAGAGTAGTTTGAGGAAGATTGGTATTAATTCTTTATACATTTGGTAGTATTCAGCAGTGAATCCATCTGGTCCTGTGCTTTTGTTTGTTAGGATAATTTTTATTACTGATTCATTCTCTCTAGTTGTGATTGGTCTGTTCAGGTGTTGTATTTCTTCCTGATTCAATCTTGCTAAGTTGAGTTGTTCCAGAAATGTATCCATTTCCCCTGAATTTTCCAGTATGTTAGCATATAGTTGTATATAATAGTCTCTGATAATAGTTTATATTTCTGTGATATCAATTGTAATATCTCCATTATCATTTACTGATATTATTTGGGTTTTCTCTCTCCTTTTATTGATTACTCTAGTTAGTAGTTTATCAATTTTGTTTATCTTTTCAAAGAACCAACTTATCATTTTGTTGACCCTTTGTGTTTCTTTTTTATTAAAGTCCCTATTTTGTTTAGTTCTGTGCTGTTTGTTATTTCTTGCTTTCTGCTAATTTTGGATTTGGTTTGTTCTTGCTTTTCTTGTTTCTTGAGGTGTGTTGTTAAACTGTTTATTTGAAATTTTTCTACTTATTTGATGTGGGCATTTGATGCTATAAACTTTCGTATTAGCTCTACTTTTGCTGTATCCCACAGGTCTTGGTATGTCGTGTTTCCATTTTCATTTGTTTCAAGAAATTTTTTAACCTCCATCTGAATTTTTTCATTAACCTATGGAAGTTCAGGAGCATGTTATTTAATTTCTGTGTATTTATATGATTTATGTGGTTTCCAAAGATTCTCTATATATTGATGTCCATTTTTATTCCACTGTGGTCTGAGAAGATACTTAATATGATTGTAATTTTAAAAAATTTTTTGAGACATGTTTTGTGGCCTAACATACAGTCTATCCTAGAAAGTGTTCCATGTTCCATGTGCTATTGGGAAAAAAAATGTATTTTGTGGTAGTTGAATACAAAGAGAGTCTTGATTGAAAATTTTTGTTTGTCTTTTCAAGAAGCCATATTGAGGCTCTTGTTCTAATGGCAGCGATTTTGTCATTGATTTACAAATAGTTTTAGTTGCTATATTATATGGGCTACCCTTGCATTAATAGAATGTATCTTATTCCTTTTATTCTCAGACCTAGTATAGGACCTGACATGCAGCTAGCATTCAATAATTTTTATTGGCAATGGTGGCAGAACTAACAATTAGGATTATTGACATCTCTATATTGTTTTGAGAGGTGAGATTTTATTAAACTACTTTTCTAGTCAGTTTTACCTTTCAAGTAATTATTTAAAATTGTATTTTGACAAAAACTCATCCGTGGCATGCTAATTCAGTTTTAGCAAAAATGCGGCTGGGTTCATTCAGTGAAAATCCCCAACCTTGGATATCTGATCAAATTCTAATCTTCCACCATTCCCAGGACTTATCACTATGGCCTGTCTTCAGCAAGAAGAATCCTGTCAAGTCAGTCTAGCTAGAATCCCCCTGACCCTGACGTTTCCTTTTAGTAATTTTTTATCCACTGATCACCACCATGCTCTTTGGCTATAAATCCCCACTTTTCTTTGTATTTGGAGTTGAACTTGATTTTTCTCCCCTATTGTAAAACCCCATTGCAGTGGTCCCTTGAATAAAGTCTTTCTTACCCTCTTTAACAAGTATCAGAAAAATTTTTGTTTAACAATTTCTAAAGGTTTAGATGGAATGATAGAAAAAAAAGTATATATATAAAATCTATGCATTATCTTATATGTACAATAATATAGAAGTAATTGTTTGTTGTAAATACAAGAAACTTCCTGCAATGAGACCTAGATACACCAAATTATGATTCTTTTCAATCGTTGGCACAGTAACAGTAATGTCCAATTAGACCAATCTCTCTTGAGATTGATCTGAAGTTAATCTGGGTGTCCTGTTGAATAAAAACTTAGTACCATTACTAAGTACTTAGTACCATTTCATTCTTGGCTTTACTTCTAAACATCCCATCACATGAGTTTTCTTGGTATCTCTAATGTGTGCACATTGTCATTTTGGTTTGATGGTTCTGTTTCAAATATGTTCTTATAGTAAACTCAAATTTCTTCTCCAGAGAACTGACTTCCTATGTCCATTTTATAGAACTAACTAATTGTATTTAGTAACAATATCTCAGGAAGTGGGAAGTCCAAGCAGGATATCATCTTATTCAGAGTAATTATCTTAACAACTTATGGAAAAATGTGGATTATTTTGGTTGAGGTAAAACGGCCTAATCAACCCAATACAGCAGGCAAGGCTACAGTTGGAATTCTGAGAGAGCTTTATTGCCCCAAAATTGGAGCCTGATATATTCAATGTGTTTCACTCTAGAGTTATTCAAATTAGGAAGACTGCAAGATTGTACAAA